TTTATTTGACAGAGAGAGACACAGCGAGAGAGAGAACACAAGCAAGGGGAGTGTGAGAGGGAGAAGCAGGCTTCCCGCGGAGCAGGAAGCCCGATGCGGGGCTCGATCCCAGGACCCTGGGATCATGACCCGAGCCGAAGGCAGAGGCTTAACGACTGAGCCACCCAGGCGCCCAAAATGTATTTCTTAAATAGTAAGATTTGAAAGTCAAAATTACTCTCTGATTCTTTTTTTAAAGATTTTTTTTTTATTTGACAGAGAGAGATACAGCGAGAGAGGGAACACAAGCAGGGGGAGTGGAGAGGGAGAAGCAGGCCTCCTGCCGAGCAGGGAGCCCGATGCGGGGCTCGATCCCAGGACCCTGAGATCATGACCTGAGCCGAACTGACTTAACGACTGAGCCACCCAGGCGCCCCTACTCTTTGATTCTTATGCTACAGACTGGATGTTGTGTTAGCAGGCATAAAACATTAATCTCATTGGGCATCTCCATTAGAACTCTTGGGTGACCAGGTGCATTGTCAGTGAGCGGTCATATTTTGAAAGGAATCTTTTTTTTTTTCTGACCAATAGGTTTCAACAGTGTGCTTAAAATATTCAGTAAATGAAGTTATAAACAGATGTGCTGTCATCCAGGCTTGTTCCATTTATAGAGCACAAGCAAAGTAGATTTAGCATAATTCTTAAGGGCTATAGGATTTTCAGAATAGTAAATGAGCACTGGCTTCAATTTAAAGTCACTGGCTACGTGAGCCCCTAACAAGCAAGTCAGCCTGTCCTGTGGAACTTTGAAGCCAGGCACTGACTTCTCTTTAGATGTGAGAGTCCTAGATGCCATCTTCCAGTATGATGCTGTTTTATCTACATTGACAATCTGTTGTTTAGTGTAGCCACCTTCATGAATGATCTTAACTAGACCTTCTGAATCACTTGCTGTAATTTCTGCATCAGCACTTGCTTCAGCTTGCATTTTTATGTTATGGAGACGGCTTCTCTCCTTAAGCCTCATGACCCAACCTCTGCTGCTTCAAACTTTTCTTCTTCAGCTTCTTCATTTCTCTCATCCTTCATAAAATTGAAGAGAGTTAGGCCCTTGCTTTGGATTAGGTTTTGGCTTAAGGGAATGTTGTGGCTGGTTTGATCTGTCTGGGCCACTAAAACTTTCTCCATATCTGTAGTAAGACTGTTTTGCTTTCTTACCATTTGTGTGTTCACTGGAGTAGCACTTTTAAATTCATTCAAGAACTTTTTCTTTGTATTTACAACTTCGCTAACTGGCGCAGGAGGCCTAGCTTTCAGCTTCTCTTGGTTTTGGACATGGCTTCTTCACCAAGCTTTTTAAAGTGTGAGACATGTACCTCTTCCTTTTACTTGAACACTTAGAGGTTATTGTATGGTTATTAATTAGCATAATTTCAATATTGTGTCTCAGGACTAGGGACACCCAAAGAAAGGGAGAAAGAAGGGGAAACAGTCAGTTAGTAAGCAGTCATAATACAACATTTATTATTAAATTCACTATCTTATATGGACACAGTTTGTGTTGCTGCAAAACAGTTACAATAGTAACATCAAGGATCACTGATCACAGATCACTATAACAAATGTAATAATAATGACAAAGTTTAAAATATTGTGAGAATTACCAAAATGTGTCACAGAGACACAAAGTGAGCAAATGCTGTTGAAAAAAATGGCACCGGTAAACTTGCTCAACACAGGGTGGCCCCAGACCTTCAATTTGTAAAAAACTCAGTATCTACAAAGTACAGTAAAGCAAGGTACAATAAAACAGGTATGCCTGTAGTCACATATTTGTTTTTGCTTTTGTTGCCTTTGCTTTTGGTGTTAAATCCAGAAGACCATTGCTAAGACTTATGTCAGGGAACTTACCACCTATGTTTTCTTCTAGAAGTTTTATGGTTTCAGGTCTTACATTCAAGTCTTTTAAGCTCTTTTTAATTAGTTTTTGTATATGGTGTAAGATAGAGGTCCAGTCTCATTCTTTCGCAAGTGGCTGTCCAGTTTTCCGAACACTATTTATTGAAGAAACTGTCCTTTTCCCCATTGTATATTCTTGACTTCTTTGTCATAAATTAATTGGCCATAGGTTTATTTTGGGGCTCTCTTCTGTTCCATTAATCTGTGTACCTTTATGCCAGTTACATACAGTTTTGATTACTATAGCTGTGTAAATTAATCTGAAATCAGGGATGTCTCCAACATTGTTCTTGCTCAATATTGCTTTGGCTATTTGAGGTTTCTCGTGGTTACAAATTTAAGGATTGTTCTATTCCTGTGAAAAATGCCATTGGAGTTTTGATAGGGATTGCCACAATAACTGATTTTTAAAGTTTTTACCGTGTGTCATGTATTGTTCTCACAGGATTGCTTGGTAACTTGATACCGACTGTTGTCCTTATTTTGTAGATGAGGAAAAGGGGATTTAGAAATAACTTGTGTAAATTCAGACATAGTAGGATTTGAGCCTAAACTTGCCTGATTCCAGAATCCATGCTCTTAACCTCACTGATCTATAGCTCCCTCCAAAAGGGAATGATGCACCTGTTGTAACCTGATCGCCTACCACAACCAAACACATCTGAAAACCTATCATTCATTCTCTCGAACAGTGCTGTCCAATAGGAATATAATGTGAGTCACAGGTGAAATTTTAAATTTTCTAAAAGCAATGTATTGAAAAGGTAAGACAAACAGGTAAAAATAATTTTTAAAACTGTATTCATTTAACCTAATGTGTGTAAAGTATCATTTCAATATGTAATCAGTGTAAACATTACTACAGTATTTTGCATTATTTTGTTTTCATACTAAGTTTGTAGTTTGGTGTGTATTTTACATTTATAGCACATGTCAGTCCTCACTAGGCCCATTTCAGGTAGCATAGAGCCACTTGGATGTAATGGCTACCATGTTGGATAGCACAGCCCTAGAATGTGAAATGTGACAATTATGATGTACTCCTGGTCTTACATTCTTCTTCCTCATTTGACAGTAGACTCCTTTGCAAGTGTAAATTAGATCTAATTTTTTTTAAAGGTTTTTTTAAAATTTTTATTTATTTGACAGAGAGAGACAGCGAAAGAGGGTACACAAGCAGGGGGAGTGGGAGAGGGAGAAGCAGGCTTCCCACAGAGCAGGGAGCCCGATGTGGGGCTCAATCCCAGGACCCTGGATCATGACCTGAGCCGAAGGCAGATGCTTAACGACTGAGCCACCCAGGCACCCCAGATCTAATTTTTTTTTTTTTAATTTTTGTAGTAAAATATACTTAACATAAAAGTTACCATTTTAACCATCTTTAAGTACACACAGTTCAATGGCATTTAATACATTCACATTGTTATACAAGTGTCACCACCATCCAGTCCCATAATTCTTTTCATCTTGTAAAAGTGAAACTCTGTAAACCCATTAAATAACTCCCGGTTTTCCCCTCCCCCACCCCCTGGCAACCTCTGTTACACTTTCTGTATTTATGATTTTGACTACTCTAAGTAGCTCATATCAGTAGAATCATACAGTATTTGTCCTTTTGTGACTAATGTATTTTGTTTAGCATAATGTCCTCAAGGTTCACCTATTTTAGCAGTGGTAGCATATTGCAAAATTGTCCTTCCTTTTGAAGGCTAAATGATATTCAGTTTTATGTATAATACCACATTTTATCTGCTCATCTGTGGATGGACATTCGGGTTGCTTCCATCTTTTGGCTATTATGAATAATGCTTGTGCTTGCTCTCTCTCTCTGTCAAATAAATCAATAAAATCTTAAAAAATAAAAAGATTATCTTGGCTATTTGCGGTCCCTTGAGATTCCATATGAATTTTGGGGTAAGTTTCTGTTGCTGCAAAAAAACATCACTGAGATTTTTTTATATGGATTGCATTGAAGGATCTAAATTTTAATGTGGGAGTAAGCGTTGCTTATAAGTCTCTCAATATGCATTTCACATTGCTTATTGGAAGCTGTTTACTTTTTTTTTTTAAGATTTTATTTATTTATTTGACAGAGAGAGACATAGCGAGAGAGGGAACACAAGCCAGGGGGAGAGGGAGAAGCAGGCTTCCTGCCGAGCAGGGAGCCCGACACAGGGCTTGATCCCAGGACCCTGGGACCACGACCCCAGCCAAAGGCAGATGCCTAACAACTGAGCCAGCCAGGCGCCCCGGAAGCTGTTTACTTCTAACAGTTACATTTTTAGGACTAAACCTGTTAAAGCCAGATTTTCTTAGACTTAATTATCTCTTATCTGGTAGTGTATATCAGAGCAACTCCTGAAATCTCGCCTATTAATTTGTCTTTGGGGTTAGATAGTACTGGTTTTCAGTTAGCTACTGCATTCATTGGTCTAAGAGGGAGGTGTTGCCATCTTGGAAGAGAAGATGGCTGGAAGATGCTATGCAGTGATTGGAGAAAATGAGAGCGCTGGAACTAGTTACTGTGAGCAGCCATGTCCTGCAGGCCAACCTGTTTCTCTTCCTTAGAAGAACCAATCTTAGCAGTTATCAGCACTTTTATTTATTTATTTATTTATTAAAGATTGTATTTATTTGACAGAGAGAGAGCACAGGTAGGCAGAGTGGCAGGCAGAGGGAGAGGGAGAAGCAGGCTCTCCGCTGAGTGGGGAACTGGACACGGGGCTCAGTCCCAAGACCCCAGGATCATGACCTGAGCCGAAGGCAGCCACTTAACCGACTGAGCCACCCAGGCGCTCCAGTTATCAGCACCTTTTTTTTTTTTAAGATTTTATTTATTTATTTGACAGAGTGAGAGCACAAGCAAGGGGAACAGTAGAGGGAGAGGGAGAAGCAGGCTCCCCCACAAGCAGGGAGCCCGATGTGGGGCTTGATCCCAGGACCCTGGGATCATGACCTGAGCTGAAGGCAGATGCTTAACCATCTGAGCCACCCAGGTGCCCCGAGCACTTTTTTTTTTTAAGATTATATTTATTTATTTGAGAGAGAGAGAGAGCATGAGAGGGGGGAGGGTCAGAGGGAGAAGCAGACTACCTGCTAAGCAGGTAGCCCGATGTGGGACTCGATCCCGGGACTCCAGGATCATGACCCGAGCCGAAGGCAGTTGCTTAACCAACTGAGCCACCTACGTGCCCCGCCCCGAGCACTTTTAAAAACAATAAATCAATCTCCTTTCTGAAATTTTTCTTGTTGGCATCAGGGTTAAAGCTCAGTATATTCCTATGGCTTTCCTGGGTGCTTTTACTCACAATAAAATTTTCTCTTTCAGAATTTGGTGTTCACCTGGCAGAGCTGACCGTAGATCCGCAGGGAGCACTGGCAATCCGTCAGGTAATTCCAGACTGATTGGCCCAATTTATAAGTAATTTCCCTTTTACTTGGTAATGAAACTTTCTTATTGGAAAAAGAAAGAATTAATGCCAGTTTACAAATAACCTAGGATTTTGTACTAGATTTAGATATACTTCAAATGAATGTATCAGGCTATGTATATGTATATGATTTTTATATATGAAAAAAGTCTTTTTCTTGCTGTACTGCTTGGCTTGTTCTCTTTGCAGCTGGCATCAGTCATCTTGAAGCAGTATGTGGAGACTCACTGGTGTGCCCAATCAGAGAAGTTTAGGCCTCCTGAAACTACAGAAAGGGTAAGGAGAATTTTTTGATTAGTCTTCCTATAGAGATTTGAGGAGCCTTCTTAAGATAACTGAGCTGCCACTATTGTTTGACAACATGGGGCAATCAAAAGACTAGGCAGAAAAGATCGATTGGTAGCTGACATTATGGGCAACATGCTGTAAGTAAGAGAGCTCCTGTATCAGGCTGACCTGTGTTCAAATTCCAGTTCTGCCTTTTACTAGCTATGAAAATACTAGAAAAGTACTTTAACTTCTTAACTTCAATTTCCTAAATATCTAAAATTAGAATTAAAATTTCAACTCCAAAGAATTGTTTGAGGATTAAATGAGATAATGTTTCTACTTGGTGCAGCACTATGCAGCCATTCTGGGCCCCCAAGAAATTTTGAGTATAAGGTCTAGGGCAGTGCTGTCCATTGGAACTTTCTGCAGTTACGGAAATATTCTGTATCTGTGCTGTCTGGTGCAGTAGCTACTGGCTATATATGGTGTTGAGCACTTAAAATGTGGCTGGTGAACCTGAGAAACTGATTTTTTTATTTCATCTCATTTTCATTAATTTAAATTTAAAGGACCACAGGTAGCTGCTGTAATGGACAGGTAAGTTTAGGGATCAAAGATGAACTCTCTGAATGAATGGTTTGTCAAGTTTGTGTGTTGAAGTTTTTGATATGCAGTACCTTACGCACGTTGTTTTTCCAACACATAAATTGGATAGCACTCTGCCAGTCACTTATAACCTGGTATAATGGCAAGTGGGCTTTTCTCCTCTGCAGGCAAAAATTGTTATCCGGGAGCTATTGCCCAACGGGTTGAGAGAATCAATAAGTAAGGTGCGCTCCAGTGTGGCCTATGCAGTGTCAGCCATTGCTCACTGGGATTGGCCTGAAGCCTGGCCCCAGCTCTTCAACCTGCTCATGGAGATGTTGGTGAGCGGAGATTTAAATGCAGTCCATGGAGCCATGCGAGTGCTGACAGGTATCAGAAGTTTTTCCCTGGTGTTCGTACTTGGATCCCAAGACACTTATGAGATGTGATGGAATGGCTCTGACCGATAGGAATTGATATTTATAGCTCTTCGTGATGCTGCTCCTCCCTAGTTTTTATCTCCGTGTCTATCCTCCCACTCCATTGACTCTTTCCAGGGAATTAAGTTGGTATAGTATTTCTACTACTATGAAACCTTAACCATTTAAGGATAGAGTAATCGCATAGTAGTTAAGGAGTCAGATTTCGCTTCATATTCTGGTTTTACCTTGACCCAAGTTACTTAGTCTCTTGAGCTTGCGTTTCCTTGTATATAAAATGAAGATAATGGTAGTGTTTACCTGAAGGGGTCTTTTGGTAATTTTAAATAAGCTAAATCTACATAAATTGTTTAGCATAATAACTGACATGAGGTAAGCACTCTAAATTTTAGCCATTATGGTAATTATCATTATTATATTAATTTTCTACTTAGTTCAACCAAGGCAAATTTAAGAACAGTCAAATAAAATTTTTATAGGAACGTAAGAAAGAAGATAAAAACAGTGTAGCTATGTAATTCTTACCTTCATTTGGTCAGCTTAGAGAATGTAGCATTTGGTATCTTTTCTTTCTTTCTGTTCTAAGAAGGTGATAAAAATATTTACAGAAAAATACTTTTAGTCGGGTACCTGGGTGGCTCAGTCGTTAAGCGTCTGCCTTCGGCTGGGGTCATGATCCCAGGGTCCTGGGATCGAGCCCTGTATCGGGCTCCCTGTTCTGCAGGAAGCCTGCTTCTCCCTCTCCCACTCCGCCTGCTTGTGTTCCCTCTCTCGCTGTCTCTCTCTCTGTCAAATAAATAAAAATAAAATCTTAAAAAAAAAAACCACTTTGTCTAAGGAGATTTGGTGGATATCTCATCTAAGCTTGATTAATCTGTTAATCTCTCACAGAACATAGAACCCAAAACCTGAATTTCCCAGTCTTGAGAGTTCTGCCCTGCTTCCCAATCCCCTAGATGAAGGCTCTACTGTTTTGCCTTCAAGGAATCCTTATCTGGATATTAGCCACCTTCTGTTGATCTCTTAGAAATTGTATTTCCCCGGGCGCCTGGGTGGCTCAGTTGGTTAAGCGACTGCCTTTGGCTCAGGTCATGATACTGGAGTCCC